GATCGTAACTATAAATCCATGTTTCGTCGCCTGTTCTGTATCCCACACCAAATTTGACGCCCCTTCGTTGAATCTGGTAAGCATGGTATTGCACCAAGTGACGCGATTCATTTTTTGAGCCTCAATCAAATTGTGTGGGATCCACCGAGAGCACAGCTTTTTCACACCCAAATGTTTGTATAGTATTGGTTGTATTTGACACATGCCTATGCCTAAAGATGCCCGAATCTCATGGTATGTCACATGTCTGTCTGTTTTGATCATACGGTGCACAGCATCGATGTTTTTATTGTTCACAGCAGTGGACGGGTGACCATCACGAAATTCGTCACTGAGATTCACACGACCGCGTTTGAATTCAACAAATCAGCTAGAAACAGTCGTCTTGCATGCAAGCACCATGCACCAAGCACCATGGTGCTTCATCGTCAAAAGTAGTTTGAAACCGAGTGAGATGATGATGTAGACAACCATTTCTAAAATGACGCCACAATGTCAAAACAAGTGACAGTCAGATGAAACAAACTGTATTCTACAGCCAAAGACTTCCATTTTCAAATTTTGTAATTATTTTTTAAATGTTGTTTATGTAAGTGGCCAGTTCCGGAAACTTATAGTGTGCCCTATGTAGTCAATGTGTCAGTTTTAACGGAATAAATATTACTTAAAAAGACCCTGTAATTTAAAAGTGATTTCAAATATTTGCATGAAAAGACTGGACGCGAAACAGAGCATTCGATTGTTACACTTGATTGGATGAAGCTGAGGGAGTACGGGGCGAATCTTTTACTTTGTGTACCTTCCCCAACTTTCGAGGACACGAGATCAATTTGCTGAATTTACTCCATTTAGAAATGGTTACCTTTTGTTGCCTCTGGTTTATCATCCGCTTAATGGACATCGCTGTCCTACGAAAAAATATTCGATGTTCGTATTTATTTTTGAATCGTAGAAGTTAATTAGAAAATGTAGACCTTAAAGTAATAGCAATTTGCAGGTGTGTAACAATTATTTATTTAACGAGTTTCACTTCATAGCAGCAGGAATATCCAATAACAAAAGTAATCGGAAGCCATAGATGGCCAGTTCCCATTAACCAAAATCAATTAAAGCTTCAAATGTTTGTAAATTGATGTCTCGTTAAAGCAGCCGTACAACTGAGTGACTTGACTATCTAACAACTCTCGTTCTCTTCAAGTAACGTGAGCGGTATGTACTATGTCTCTGTGCGATCATCTCAAAGCGTCACTTGACACAAAGGGGAGATAGGAACCTACTTTAATAGAAAGCGATAAACGGTTTATCGTGTGCGACGGAGACAAATTAACGAGTGCACGTGCTGAGGAGGCGCCTTCGCGAAATGAGTTTTGGTGTACATCATGTGAACTTCGCCGGTTTATTTATATACCCGGGGTCTTTCCCCGCGCGGCTTAATGGCGCCTTAAACGGTAATGTGTGGTAATAAATTAAACGATAATAAGTTCGGACAACAACATTGCCGTTAATGACTGCGAACTCAAGATAAACTTGGAAAAGACGCTACAATGGATAGAGGACACGTTTTCATCGAAGCATGATCGCAAAGGCATGTCACTAAAGTGCAACACAATTAGGGCTACGAGTATTAATACTCGTAGCTCTCAGCTGCGGGTATGTGAGTATATGTCTTAAATGTCGATACAACTCGATAGTTTTTAGGTTTTCGTGTATATACACTATATTTCTGGCCGTGACCATGGGACCTGTAAAGGGCGAAAATGAAAAAAATATTTTTCTAATGTCATGTGTCAACGATCAATATTGTCATGTCTCTTAATTATTTATAATAACTGTTGTTTTCACAGAATATAAAGGACAGTTTCAAATTAAACTATTTTATTTGGTATTATTCAACCTTGGTTAGTAAAAACAAAGAAAAACTTATACACTAATGTTAGTGATTACATCCTATAAATATGTACAGTGCTTGTATTCTCTCAATGACCCTCGGCAATCACCGAATTATATTTATTTTATATAATTAATTTCTATGCCCATTAATTATTAGATTTAAAATCTATAATAATTTGAATTCTGAACAGCGAACTTTATTGCTGTTTTGTTTGATTTCCGTGAGAACTATATAGAGCTGTAAAAGTATTTCAGTAATTTTAATAACATTTACTCCACTGTCAAGAAGTAAGTTAACAAAAATATAAAGTAAAGGAAAGGAAAAGGAATTGATTTATCTTTTTTATCATATTCTTTACTGTTCCGATTTAAACATCACCATCTCCAGAAATACGTTTTTGGACTTTTTGAAAATAACCATTGTTGTCGTTCTTGAACGTATTGGCTTCTTGTAACAAATACAAGTACATGCTGTAAATTATTTGTCGTGCCTGTGACAAAACTAGTGGAGTTGTTTCACAGAAAATCTCAAATAATACATTTCTGTGTATACTTGACCTATATAGGCTGCAAGTGCAAAAAAAATTACAAAATCTTTCTGGTGTTTCGTGACGTGGATAGAGTATACCGGCTCATATGTAATGTGTAAGTAATTGATGCATATTATTATTAAGATCAATTATTAATTTATCATTATTCAATATTTTCCAAAGTCCAAGATATGTTGACGATTGCGTTATTAAGCTATTTCTATTCTAATAAGTTGTTACAATAGCAATAGAGCTCTTTGTGAAAGAGTTCGTCCAGGGAAGTACTGCCGCCTTACATATTTCTGCCGCGAACTGTAATATGAGCATTACTGCGTTCTGGTTTTGAAGGGTAAGAGTGCTGGTGAAATTACAGGCACATGCGACTTGTCAGCTTTATGTCTCAGGGTGACTGGAGTTTCTAGTTCGTCCCTACCTTGGTAGCAAAAAAAACGTAATATTTTTCTCGTTGATCAGCTATTACAGTAAAAAAATTCCTTAAATGTTTAGATACGAGGTTGATATTCGATTAACACTGACATCACTTGAATTATCAGAAAATTTCTTAAGAACATGACGCTATTCGATCATTATAACCATACCTAACTAGTCCATTATAATTGTACCTTAACGGTTTAAATATAAGGTTTATATATTGAGTGAAGTTTTGCGGGATCAAAGGGCTTAGCAATGATAATTATATTCGCCAGTTTCCTCGAAATACGAATGACTTTGAAGTCTGGACTTTAGGAAATAGTACTGTACGAACATACGTAGAAAATTATTATACTATATAGACAAATTATATTACTAATACACCGCTTTCACACAGATTGTACGGTATACCACTAACAGGTAAATAACTGAGTTATGTTGTCGTTAATTTGTTCGTAACTACTCAAATCTCAAGTTACAATTTATTTACTTGGATAAATTCAAATAGTATTTCCAAGAATAATTAATTAGTACTATCAGAATGTAAACATTGAGCGTTTTTACAAATTAATTCAGATCTAGGTTGCGCTTCATTGGTGTTTCACGAAATCGGTTATTTTGTACATGATGATTAAAATTTCATGTTTGCATTTCTTAGAAAAACATTGGTATGATAGAAAAAAACTTACAAAATAAAAAAAACTGGATTTTAAAGAATACAGACTTCTATGAATACAAAGTTATGACAATTTAGTGACAAATGTATTGACGGATTTATTCAGGAAATTGGAAAAAGAGATATGCTTTCGAAAGTGTAGAATACAATCTAGTTATATGCTCAAAATGGGTTCTAGTTATAACAGTTTCTTATGATACGAAATGATGGGACGAAGAATTCGTGCACCAGGTGTTAAGCGACAAGCTTGTCTATAATAGTTGCAGGGTAACTCAGAGCTTTAAATCGCAATATCGGAGGGACACTGTTACTGCGACGGTCATCCTGAAACATAAGTTCATAAGTCACATGTGTCTGTAATTTCAACAGCACCCTTACCGACAAACAAAGAACTAAACGCAGTAATGCTCACATTACTGCTTGGCGGCTGAAATTGGAAAGGTGGCAGTACATCTCTGGACGAAATCTTTCACTAGGGGCTGTACTGTTACTGTACCACATTTTACATTCAATTATAAATCTATTAACTATTGCTACCAGGATTTCTGAACGTAAATTCGATTCAGAAGAATAGGTACTCTTATACGGTAATATTTCAAGAATCAGTTTAGATCTCAGTCTATAATAAAAGTTTATATAGTATAAGGCTTATACTTGACATTGTCTTTCCGCGGCGAACGAGAGTCGACCCCTGGCTCTTGCTCTCCCAACTGATCTACGAAACGATTCAGCAGACATTACGAATTTCTTTATGCGCTTGCTGGAGATATTTGTATTTGGTTTTTAACGGCCTTTTGCCGTAGCACCACCTTTGAGAAGACTATAAAAGCTTTTTCTTGACTCTAGGTATCTTAAGCTAGTGTAATACAATTTTGATTTGTGCTTCAAATAAAAGAAAACCTCACAACTTCACTCAACCTGGTATCGTTAATTATTTCTAAATTTGCCAAGGCTTTTTGTCATAGAATAGACAAAACTACCTTGCTTTTTCCTTCAAATCTATGGTCATATTAGGACTGAACGCGTAAAGAGAATGGCGAATGATTCACAATTTTTTTCCAGTCTACTCAAAATGGTTTCATAAGCTGAAACAAAAGTGATCTTTATACTAATCGAACTTAAGATCATCTCGAACTAACTATAGTAAGCAATTACTCAAACGAGATCTAAGGTCGATAAGTTTCCAATCCGTGAAAGGCGCTAACTTTTACTTCACCTAACTAAGACTGAAAGAGTAAACTTACTTATATAATTATGGATACAAACTAACACCTTTTTCATAATCAATATTTGCTTGTAGAACTTTCGTTGCCTACCAGGGCGTTCAATGTATTCTCGGTATCGGGGTGATTAACTAATGACAAGAGTAAATTAATTACCTAGTTAAAGAGACTCTTTAAGGGTATAAATATAGAATTTCATGTAATTGTCATCATTAGTATTCAAGTTATCAATACGAGAAGACAACTACAATGACAGACGCTACAATGTTGACGAAAATCGAGCACCGCGCAGTGATTAAATTCCTTACAAAACAAGGAAAGACTCAAAAAGTTATTCATGAAGAAATAGTGGCTGTTTATCAAGATTCTGCTCCTTCATTATCTACTATTCAGAAGTGGTCTAGTGAATTTAAACGGGGTAGAGAGAGTATTGAAGACGACCCCCGTGCTGGAGGGCCGATAAGTGCCACTTCCGAAGAAAACGTCAAAATTGTCGAGAAACTTGTATTGGAAGATGCCCGTATCAGAGTGAAAACATTAGCAGAAAAGACTAAGCTATCCGTGGGTACTATTCACACTATCCTTTATGAACATCTGAATCTTTCAAAAGTCAGTGCAAGATGGGTGCTGCGAATGATCACGCCGCTTCAGAAACAAGTTCGAGTTGAGTGCAGTAAGGGGTTTTTGGAGCTCTGTAGCGAAAATTCTAGTGGAATTTTTGAACACATTGTCACCGATGATGAAACGTGGGTTCATCACTATGATCCTGAGAGTAAGCAAGAGTCCATGCAGTGGCATAAAAAAGGAACAGACCCACCAAAGAAGTTTAAAGTCTGCCCATCCGTCGGAAAACTCATGGCCACAGTGTTTTGAGATTTTAAGGGAATTTTACTGATCGAATACAAAAATGGGTCAAAATATTACTGCCTTAGCTTACGCAAACAGCTTACGCAATTTGAAGGACGCTATAAAGGAAAAACGACCTGGAAAATTGACCGCTGGTGTCTTGCTTCTTCACGACAACGCGCCGGTTCACGCAGGGCGCGTTGCCATGGCTGCTGTGAGGGATTCTGGATTTGAAGAAATCACTCATCCACCCTACAGCCCTGACCTGGCCCCCAGTGATTACTTTTTGTTCCCAAACCTAAAGAAAGATCTTCGGGGTAAGCATTTTTCCGACGATGAAGAGTTGAAGGAAGCAATTAATAAACATTTTTCAGGCAAAGAGGAAATATATTTTTTCGAGGGCATCAAAAAGTTATTTGCCCGATCAAATAAGTGTATTGAGGCTATGGGAGACTATATTGAAAATTAAATTTTATTTAGAATTTTTTGCCTATTATTTCATACCTATACCGAGAATACATTGAACGCCACTCGTACTTTGTGTACACTATAGTTACTTCTTTGTTAGTTGTCAGGTTCTCGTCTTTACTTGTACTTGTAGTACAATGGGATTTTTCTCTAAAAATACTCTTTGTAAATCCACTATCTTGACTAGAAAATCTTATAGTTTCGTCATATTTGGTTGTCTTTCTGTCATTCGTTCATGTGCATTATCATTATCAGTAGTGCAATAGCATTATCAAAAATAGTTTTTTGAGACTGAAGGTTAGACAGAGCCATCACAATCACCATAAGCCTATTTAAAATCTTATAGCTCGCAGACGGCGGCATCGTTTTGGCGACGCGACGTATTTTCTTTACCGTACTTCGTTCCGTATTATGTTTTCTAGTTAAAAAGTATACAATTGACATGGTACATTGTTACCTTGTTACTCACATTAATATAGTAGTAAAAATATCGTACTAAGTGTATGTTTGGCTTAGTTGATTTACTTAACCATTAATTTATTAAAATTATTTATGTCACAATGACTAAAGCGTTGCAATTTTCAAGACCTTACCTGTTTCTCTGGCATCAAGCAGTAATGGGAGCATTTCTGCGTTTCGGTTTTGAGTAGTGAGGGTGCAGGTGATATCACAGGCATATGGGAATTGTCATCTTATGTTTCAGGGTGAAGGGCGTTGATACAGTGCCCCTCAGATCTTTGCGATTTAAAACTTGCATCTGTCATGGATAGGCGTGTCGCTTGTTACCAGGCGCACAATTTGTTAGTCCCGCCGCTTGATACCATTAAAAAAAATTAATTGGCTGTTGATTTGTCAAAATAAAAAACAATATACAGACTCGTTAATAACAGTCGATCTCGTTTACGATTGTCATTTGTTACTGGCCTCGCATCGCGCGCCTAAGCACCAGAGGCGTAAAACAAAACATTTTATTTCGCTTTTAAATATCTCTAAATAGTTTTTCCATTTCCACCTTTGTACGCCGGACGTTGGCAGGTTTTTGCGGGAACTTCCCCCTCTAGTGGTTCTGTTTATTTATTAAATAGGCCACTGAGGAAATTTTCTATGCAAACGGAGCGGAGCTCGCTTAAAATATTCTTAAAATTGTATTCCGAAAATAGTAAGGTGTTGTGGTTTTTATTAATTAATTCGTCTTTGGGCACAATACAAATATAAATACAAAGTTTATTCCTCCCAATGCCTTACCATTATTACAATGGTATTTTGTACGATATATTATGTAACTTGTTGTAGAAGATTGACGTACAAGATAGGTAAAACCTTTGTTGTGGCTAACCAGGCCTCACTTCCCGGATATGAAAGCGAAATAGTACGAATGTACTATAGACTATCAAGTTATAATATACAAGAAGATTGAAATAATAAGATATTTTTACGAATCCTACGAATACACCATAGTGTTGTACTAGCTGTAACTTATGTTTCTATACAAAAATCGCAACTTTAAAGCGTTTTTAGATAAAACAATAACTATAATTTCAAAATATATTTTCAATATTTTTAAATGAGATTATGAGAACTGTAAATAATAAAAAAATAATTAATTTCATAGTAAAGTACCACGACAAATAAATTAAAAAAGAACATCGTAAACCTCATTGCTGGTGAAATTATAGGCACATGGGACTTGTCAACTCGGGAATAGTGTAATAACGCGTAATTAGCATTGGATTTTAAGTTTCCATTTTGGTAAATTACTGGCCAAATCAAAAACGCGTAATTGTCGTGCCAACCAAATTAGCGCGATTTTCGGGAATCTATTGTTATCAGTCCGTAGATAACATAAATTATATGCTTACTGTGCAAAATTGAAAGCCGTAGCCATTGAAATAACAAAGTAATGACATTGAATAATTTTCTTGTAACATTTGATTTAGTGCAGCGCGCCTTTTACCAATGCTACATACGCGGATTTGCACTATCCCCGACGTTATGTCTCAGGATGACGGGCACAGTGGCAGTGCCCCATCTTTGCGATTTAAAGCTATGAGTGGCACTGCAACTATTATGGACAGGCGCGTAGCTTACCATCAGGCACACGACTTGTTCATCCCGTCACTAGATATTATAAAAAAATGTTCCAAAAATAACCGCCCTAATTAAATTGTCATTCAAAAGTGTTTTAAATTTTGATAACATCAACTTTTTACGAACAAAGAAACAAGGAGCGTTGATTTATTAGAACAAAGCGCAGATGTAATATGTATATATATATTGTATTTATATACTATATCTTTTTGTAATTAATCTCTTTAACCTCTGTAATTTATTTATTCAGATTAAGAAGTAGCTGTAAATGTTCTGGTTTTTCTATGATAATTTAGTTTTGTATTTTTCGTCTTACAATTGCCAAGGAAGACAAGAATGTTTAGTAAATAATTATAATAACGCACACATTCAACATAGGTCTAAATGTAGCAATAATATTATAATAATATTATAATGCAATAAATGTAGGCCATAGAAATATTTCTCTCGGCCCGGGAGTCGAACCTGGGGCCTCTGCGTGGCAGTCCGACGTGGTAACCGTTCGGCCACAGAGGCAGTTAAATAACCAACATTGAGCGACAAATATTTATATTATATATATTTATATTAACATTTTGTATAGTTTTGCTTGCTTATCGTTAGCTACCGTTTACTAAAAAAGTAGCTATTGTGGACGAAATCGGCGAGAATTCAAAGATTCGTAATACTTCTGCCAATGTAAAAACAATTAAAAATTGTGTTTCTAATTTATGGATTTTTATCATTGACTTACAATTATATGGACGTCGGGTCCGCGCTAAAAAGTGTCCGAACTTATAGGGCGTTAAAGTCGTATACAGAGCGTCATTCACGCTTTAGTCTTCGTTTGTTCGACTGACAGCGAAGCAAGCAAAATTAGACAGTACTGCGATGACATTACAATTTAAATTCAACATTTTAGCTTTTTCATATTCCTCTAGATGTCACTACGTTTAAATAGGTTGACTTGGTACATTTTTTTCGTGGTTTTTGTATTAGACCCGTCGTCCATTTATTTGCAAGTCACTGATTTTTATATCATGTTTAACGGACTTCAAAAAAGGAGCAGGTTCTCAATTCGACTGTATGTTTTTTTATGTATGTTACGCGATAACTCCGGTATTTGAGAACCGATCTTCATGATACTTTTTCTGTTGGAAAGAGGGTACCTGCATAGTGGTCCCATTTAATTTTGAAGAAAATCACCCACCTCTAAGATTGGCAGTTCACGCATGAAAATTCATTTTCATAAATAGCGCCTAAATTTTATTATAAGGAGCAATTATTTTAATGTTTAATTTTGCTATTCTCCAATTTAAAGGCGTTTTTCTCTCAATATATTTTGAGTATAGTGATGAACTAGGGGATATTTCAATAAAACTTGGCAAATAGATGTAATTCCACGTACCTACTTTTGAGGTCGGGTTTTTTAGTACTCTGTACTGAGATTATAATCCAATTATAACATATATTTTTAATTTTTTAAACATTCTACTGAAGCCGTGGTAGCCTAATGGTTTGACCTACTGCCTCGCAAGCAGAGGGTCGTGTGTTCGAATTCGAGCTAGCACCACTGAGTTTCTCGGAATTTATGTGCGAAATTGAATTCGAAGTTTATCATGAGCTTTTCGGTGAAGGAAAACATCGTGATGAAACCTGCACTGAAGGTGCAAACCTTCGGAAAACGAGTAACGTCCCCAACCTTATTGGGCCAACGTGGCGGACCATGGCCTAAACCCTCGTCTGAAAGGAGACCAGTGCCCAGCAGGGGGACCTATAAAAGGATTGATGATGATGAAACGTTCTACTGGAATAGCAAAACATTATTACGAATTGTGCACACATTGATCTGAGTAGCACTACAACTGTTATTACAGGTAGGCGTGTAGTTAACCACTAAGTTCACGACTCATTCGTCCCGTCACTTGATAGCATAAAAAAAAAATTTAAATATTCGAGCCGGAAACTGTCAAACTTTCCACCTGATGGAAAATGAATGTCGCCGCTCACAGATATCTGCGATAGAAAATACTCTCAATATCTCAAAAGCGATTCCTGTCGGATCCTTAGTCTCAAATACCTCTCTCTTTCCTTTTTCAGTCCAGGAGACAGCTGTAATGCATTACAGTACAAACAGGTATCCAAATTATGCACAGGCAGAGGCTCAATTAATGAACAAAATGTATATATTACCGCAAACGACACTATTCAATGCTCATTATGTTTTCACCATGTTCTATAAAAGGTCTACATACAACTTCTTCGTCAAAATTAGCGGATCTCTAAAACATCTTTTCTAACAACCTTATTTTTTTCTGCTATCAGTAGAAATATAGGAAACAAATTGTGGCAAGAAACTTGTAACGATAAATCATTATTGTGAATATTTACCAAAAGTTTCAGCTAGTTCTTATATTTACAGAGAAAGAGCAGGTTATTCCTCATTTCTTTTTATAAGTGCACTTAGGTAAGTGACTATAATATGGACTACTTAAAACCTACTAGCGATTTACATGGACGCAGACATAAAATGCCAAAATATAGATTACCGTAAATTATTACTTTTTAGTCTTTGACAAGCTGACAAAGCGATTTAAACAAAGGCCGGATAGAAAACAAGGGTCGGAATAAAATTGAGAGGTCGAGAAGTCGTAATTGCGAGGTAATTTTCTTTGTTCACTTCGGATGTATGGAGCGTACCATGAAATTACTGAGCACATACATTACGTTATCATCTTTATATACTAACCTTTTGAAGAAGATTCGACTGTAGATAATCTTTCCTTATTTAGATTAAGAATGTCTTGTTGATGAATAATTCCGGTGGTCGTGGATTTGACATAAAAATTATGATTTTATTTTATTATTTGGATATTCTATTAATCTTACTGGACTTATAATTTGACTGAAAGTTTTAAAAATACTGTTAATCTTTTTTTATTTTCTCACGATGAAGAAATTCATATTTATTTCCAAGAATAAATTATAACACCGTCTCACAACCATGTGATGTTTTTTAATTTTTATGTACATCATGTTACCGGTATCGTACTTTTACTTAGAAGGCCCCAGAAATAGTATTAAAATACAATATAAATAAAAAATACTTACAAATCCTTAATAGAAAACTTTCCAACTTGTATCAATGTTCCATTCAAATTCACCTTTTTCGATAACCTCAAAAACTGTATTTCATACTGGAATGTCAATTGAAAATATTTATAAAGCCCGAAGTTTATTTATTCGAGTTGATTGAATACTGAAAAGTTTCGTAGAAGTATCGCAACGAGAGCTACGTGCTGCTACAGGGCTACGGGGCGTAGAGCGTGCGGCCCGGTCCGCGAGACGCGTAGTACTGAGCGGTACAGTACTACTACTCCGGTGTCCTCGGCCCGTGAGCTCTTGACAAGACTATCTTTGCAGTGGTCCTTAGGGAACAGGCAACTTGTGAGCTTCGGCGCGGATAACAGTCGTTATGCTTCTTTGTTTCTCAATCGCTCTTTGTAACACACACACCGATAATTGCGTCAGCGATTGTCTCGTGTTCCATTTGTATATTGGTAATTTTGTCATTGAAATGTCCTGTTTAGATTTACAGAATACAAGCAAAGAATTATTTTTTTAGGAAAATCGTTACAATAACAAATTTGATAAAACGTATAATTCGAACAAGTAAACATTAAAAATTATAATAGAATATTGTCGTGGCAGTATTGCCGCGCTATGTTCGGTACAATGTAATGTCTTCTTCTGGGTGCCATAGAAATTGAAAAATAAGTACTAAATGCCAAGCAAAGGTCTAGATTATGTACAATTCAATATTTAGTGTCGCAGAGCTTGACAGATCTACTGTAATTTATATTTTAATTTCTCTTTCAAACCTACGTAATAGTGCTATTATTTTCACTGCGTATTGAGCTGTACCAAAAACATTTGTTGTTGTTCGAATAGCATAGACAGATAGCGGTAAATAGTAAAGAGATTGTGTTACATTATAAACTTCTATCACCTGTCAATACAGATCAAAATGGAAAAACAGCATTTTTAGGGAGAAATCGACACAAATAGACTGGTGTGCTAATATAATAAAGCAAATATTTTGGTAAACATAAAATAAGCCTAGGTACAATAAGTATATGGTTCATTATTACGAGAGCAAATTTAGAGGACAAATTAATGAAATAGAGCTTCCATGCTCATAAGAAGTCTATTATTAAAGCACCATATTGTTACCCATCGAACAAGTCGTAACAATGTGCATACCTCCCGTTGCGGTGTACAGAAACAAGCGGGATCGCGACAACTTCCCCGAATTTGAATTCTAAATACCTTCACTGAAATGTGTTTATTCCCCTGCAGCGTACATAAAAACAGACAAATCACAAAACAAGATAACATTCGCTAGGTCTCCTTGCGGGAATCTCATTTTCAATATGTTTTTATAACTTTCGGTGAGGAAATGAGGTGGTGCTCGGGGCGCTCCGCGGCGGCATTGTCATCATAAACCAACCGAGGCCTCCTTCATAAATCCCCACTGAATGTACCTTTATACGCATTATACCATAACACCGAGGATTCTTTTCGCCGCACAATGCTTTTAAAGCAAACAAATAACTCGTATCTGTATGCTTTTTTATTTACGCTATGTTATTATGCCCTTTTAGGCGTCTGATTAGGTACAGTAAAAAATAGGAACCTTTTAAAAAGGATAATTTGGAGGCTTTATTAAGAATTTTAGAATGTAGCTACGTTCATACTAAAACTAAGTGATTGGCATTATGTAGATATAAGTGAAAGAAAGTTATGTGAATGGATGAATATTGCGTTGTTTATTATGTTGATGTGAGACAATTTGTTGAAACACGTAAATTTTGCTTCAAAATTAGGCAAACTAAGTAAAGTAACCTGCTGGTCCATGAGAGCTTATGAAAGGAAATCTTCCAATCACACTTAAGTCGACTTGATTATGCTTCCCGTCTTTACCTACGGTCCACGGACATGATCCCTAGCCGAAAATCAAAAGTTCAAGTTCAAGGTTTGTCAAAGAGCGATGGAACGCAACATATTAGCTGTAAAGAATGGATAGTATTCGGAACACTATTTTGCGCTCGAAGGTAGAAGATAGGCGGGGTTGGAAAAAGGACTATCAAGCTGAAACATGCCTGCGGTAGTCACGTCTATCGCATGCACCCACAGCGATGGGCTCACACTGCCACTTAGTGGATGCCAGAGAACGACCAGTGATGGCGAGGCAAACCAAGAAGAAGATGGCGGGATGTCAAACCGGGGTCTGTGGAACTTAAGAGGAGAGGCCTTGGCCCAGCAGTGGGAAGTGGGACACAATAGACTAATTTAAATGCGTGAAGTACTGTTGTAATATAATTTGTCAAACAAAATTGTAAAGAGATACTATATCTTTAACGGCACACATTGAAAAGAATTTACGTTGGCATACTAGTAAATTCACTGGATGGCTGCATTATCTACATAAAATAAAATATTGCCTGCATATTATAGAGGCACCAGTACATGAAACAAAACACTGTCAACCATTCTTCTTTTAAAATTCATCATCAGAACAAATGTAGAATTACCCAGAGAGTTTTCGAAGAGGCACTGATGTTCCGTATTCTCAAATCAAAATGCAGTACGCTGTTCATTTTTCGCAACATAATAACCCGCTGGCCTGCGGGCCACAAGCAATAAGATAGTAATAAATGTTCACAGTAGCAAGAATGAAAAGGAATATAATAAATGATATTGTGAACTGAAAGTTCAATATTATTGCACTCTCTAATCCCTGACACCGTAACAGGTCATAAAGTTGTCGGTTGTGTATTGGTTTTGATAATATGCATCACTGCAATTTAAAAATAGAAGATTGTAATAATATTAACTTGCCTCCGTATTATACGTACGTCTTTCCAAAATTTACGAGACAGTATATAACTATAATACGGGAGAAAGTTAAAATATTTTTCTTTTTGTGTAACACAATCCACCTAATGGTAAAGGACAATGTGGTCGAGGTAAGCGCATGGTTGTCAAATAATATGCCTATTCACTATCGCCTTAAAATAGCCCTACGTACTATATTTGTTAGAGAACGGAGAGATAAGAGAAACACCGTACCTGTCCGCAACAGGAAAAAGGAAGCACCAAACAAAAGATTCATTCATTTAAAGGTAGTGGAATCCCAGCCGGCTGTCATGTTAGACTTTGGCTTGCTTCGGGGTATGACACACTACGCGCTGCGGCGCTGGCACTGAAAAGGCAAGTCATCGTTATAAAAACCTTGTGTTTCTGCAACGCACCATCTTACCGCTCGAATTCCTACAAAATAAGACCGTTGCGACCGCCGCTTCCGTAAGGAAAGATCTAGTCGATCTAGTATTGTTTTGAAATAAAAAGATTTATGGTGTTGCCACATAGATCTACGACAATTAGGGTAGAATTCATACACATATAGCATTCTCTATTCTTTGTGTTCCAAAAAGTATAAATTTAAAGTATATATTTAAATTTAAAAGTGGTCATCCGATCGATTTCGAATAACCAGTGCTTTTATAAAATCTTTTCGCTACCACATTTAACATTAGAGCTCCCTTTATTGTGATTGTGCGGTTCGTGCTCGAAGTTATAAGTAGTTGCGATCAATGATCCTTGGAGAAATAACGTAATAACTACGTACTGCAATATCTTCGTGAGATAGTTTTGAAAAGAGATCGTAAAATGTAGAAGTAAATGTTAAAGTAATTATGAAGGGACAAGGACGCGCAATGCTGTACAGAGTTTATTGTAGCGTGTGGTCTAATACTAATGATTCGTCGTGGTTAGAACAAAAAGTATTGTAAAAGTTGACATAGTGGCTGTAACTTACACACACACACACACACAGTTTGGTATCATATATTTTATTTATAAAATAAAAATATAAATCATTAGTCCAAATGAACTGGGTATTATCTCAAAAATACAGATTTTTCTGGAGAGCAGTTTTAAAGTTTCTTCTGGCATTATTTCACTCGCTATTGTTATTTGTTTCTCCTCTCTTATATGTATTTAAAGCCTAAGCATTTAACGGTATTTTCGAATACAAAAGTATTTTCGAATACTTCTTGTTCTTATTCAGTTTCGTAGTTTTGACAAAATCCTGAGAAGGTCTATAATATTATCTTTTAGAACATAAAATATTTGTGATTCAGAGTATTAACTAAACAATTCATGCTTAACACTTTTAAATGAAAGAAGGAATAAATTTAAATTCGATAAAAGTTTGAGAAATATAGTAGTATCTCAAAAAAATACTCAATATTATACATTCACACAACAATTAAATGAAAAAAATATCTTACCTTGAAATAACCGTCTTCGTTTTAGAAGTTTTATACGTTTTACCTTTACGTGCAAAAAGTTCAGAGATACTACCCTGCCTCCCGCGCTATTTCACGTCCGATCGTTATCGTTTGTCGAAAGATCTCGATTTATTTAATAGGACTGCATTTTAAAGTTAAAATTCCAAATTTTTGAGTTGATATCCTGTTCATCCAAGGCAACGAAATATAATCTTCAATTAAATTAAACGACAACGCCAGAGGACTCTCTGAGACGATGATTGTCGTCTCTCTAAACTTAAATGGCAAATATCTGAGGGAGACTGCCACTGGGCCTGTCACCCTGAGATATAAGTAGACAAGTCTCATGTGTCTGTAATTTCACCAGCACCCTGATCCTTCAAAACCGGAACGCGGTAATGCTTACATTACTGCTTGGCGGCAGTAATAGGTAAGGCGACAGAAATAGGCAAGGTCTCCTTCATGTTGTCATTGCAGCTATCATTAGTAGAGCGTTAAGTTTTAGATATCATACCCTTATTAACTGCCTCCGTGGCCGAACGGTTACCATGCCTCTGCCAAGCAGAGGTCCCAGGTTCGATTCCCGGGTCGGGAGAAATATTTGTATGGCCTACATTTATTTCTCTCGTGAGTTTGGGTGTAATTTGTGGTTGTCTACGTGTGTGTCCATGGCACCCGCGACACAGGGTATCCCTAGTGCGGGGCTATGTTGAGTGTGTGCATTATTATTATTTTTATTATTATTATTATTATTATTATTATTATTATTATTATTATTTTCGTATTTATTTTAAACTCTCGCCTCTCCCAAGGCCTAAAAAATTAATTTTGAATTTTTATTATTATTATTATTATTATTATTACTATAGATGTTTTTTCCTCTCAGCCTGTTGACTGGTTTTAACAGCATCTACGGACCGAAATCAAGTAAATGCTGTAGGGCTTGTATGTATATGGTGAGAGTGTACTAAG